AGGCGGGTAGTTAATCACTTTAACTAAGAACAATCACGCTTAAGCTACATAATCTTTACTCCCTGGAATGGAGATAAGAAACACCCTAACCTTTGGAATAGAAATTGACAGGATTAAAATCAACTGGTATAAATACATATGTAACAAGACAACAGGACACAGAACCTAGAGACAGAACCTAGCAAGAGAACATGGCAAAAGATCCTGGACAGAACCTGGCTACAGAACTTGGCTGGAGATCCTGGCTAGAGATCCTGGCTAGGCTGCTGATCAACTGAAAGCTGTCTCTGTGTCATTCCTTCTTCGCCGACTCTGTCCACACCTTTGGGGACCCCTGGACCTGCTGGGGCTGGACCCCAGCATTTAGTGATTTCAGAGAGACAGAGCGAGCGAGCGCGAGAGAGAAACACTGATTTGTTGTTCCACTTACTAGCATTCATGCGTTCATTGGTTGATTCTCGGCCACAGGAGCAGTGCCAGGGAACCGTGATATCCCGGGCAGGCCAGGAAGATGTGCGCTCCGTGGACCGTGAGCAGGGTGGCCTGGAGAGAGCATGTGGGGACTGACATGGAGCAATGTGCCAGGGTGCATGCACCCCACGGTGGGTGGCTACTAGCAAGCACCCACGAGGTCGGAGCGCCCAAGAACCACAGTGGCACAGCCTGGTTTGCGCCTGGGCTGTTTCTGGCAGAGGGTGAAGGGTGTGCTACCCCTTTTGGTTTCACTGCAGCTCACACGGGGTGAGTGGGCAGACGGGTGGCTGTCCCACCTGTGGGGTCTGGATGTTACACTCCACGGGGAGAGACGAGCCCCGGTCAGACCCCTGTCAGCACGCACAGCTCCCGCTGTAGCAGCTCACCTTTCGATGCATCGGGTTGAAGCCGTCTGTCCCTGTTAGGTATGGACAGTCCATACGAAATAAAGCTGACAACTTAGAAGAACGAGGTCTATCGCTTTCCCCAATGCCCGTGATCATGTTCATGTTAAGCTGAAGGAGAGGCAAGGCCTTGGCCCAACAGTCTTATTAAGGGACCTAACTTATTATTAAGAGTTCAGGGCCGAGATCAATAGGTAAAGGGATAGAGAAGAATGGGTACCTATCCACAACGGAATATTACTCAGCCCCCCAAAAGAATGAGAGCTTGTCATTTGCAACCACATGGATGGACTTAGAGGGTATTGTGCTAAGTGAAATAAGTCGAGCAGAGAAAGACAAATACCATATGTTTTCACTGATATGTGGAGTCTCAAAAACAAAAGAAGCAAAACAGAAACAAACTCGTAGAGAACATGTTGGTGGTCGCCAGATGGGAGGGGTGTTGGGAGAGAACGGGTGAAAAAGGTGAAGGGATTGAGAAGTGCACATTGCCAGTTATTATAAGTAGTCACGGGGAGGTTGAGTACAGCACAGGGGATATAGTCAATAACAGTGTAATAACTCTATGGAAGGTGTCAGATGGGGACTAGACTTGCTTGGTGATCACCTTGTAAGGTATATAAACGTCTAACTACTACGCTGTACACCTAACACTAATGTAATATTGTATGTCGACTGCAATTGGAAGATAAATTAATTTTTTAAAAAGACGTCAGGGCAGAGGATGGAGGGGACCCACCAGGCCCACAACACAGTGGGCAGGCCAGTCCCGGGCCAGCCGGAGCCCTGAGTACAGGCCGTTTTTGTAACAGAACACTATGTCTTTCACACCCTGCTCTCCTCTCCAGAACCCAGATCTGAGTCACCGTAAAAGGTGGGGGAGGGGCGAGCAGAGGAGGAAGAAACAGAGAAGGATATGGAAAGCGATTTAGAAACACACACCTCCGACAGAACTTGATAACCCGGAGTCCAGGTGATCGGCGCCTGACGGCATACAAAGGCCCAAGGCAGGCCACAGGACGGGGCAGCTTCAGACTTCATGTTTGCCTTCCACTGAGCAAACTAATAAATCCCCTATGGTTTCAGCCACGCAGAGCTCCCCGATTTTATTTACTGGTCAAAACTGCAGGCGGGTTTGCTTTGTCCCCTCCCCGTCACCCAGGGCAAATAGCAGGCCCCTCCCCCCCCCATCCTGCCATCAGTCTGTATGTCTATTTGCGTTCCCCTTCAACAAACTCATGTTCGGCGCAACTGACAAGGAGTGCAAACAGCTTTGAAGTATTCTTCGGTAATGGACTTCCCCCCGCAGCCCTGTGTTTGGCCTGGGCAGCCGAAGGCAAAGGGAGAAAGAACTACTTGTCAGAGAAAAGGCAGACGCCACCTGGGTCAGGCGGGGCTCGGAACTTGACCCATGGAAGGGACCTCAGAGGATCCTCAAGACCAGTGGTTCTCAACCTTCCTAATGCCGCAACCCTTTAATAAAGTCCCTCATGTTGTGGTGACCCCCAGTTTCATTGTTACAAATTGAACATGATTAAAGCATAGTGATTAATCACAAAAACAATATGTAATTATATATGTGTTTTCCGATGGTCTTAGGCAACCCCTGTGAAAGGGTCGTTCGACTCCCAAAGGGGTCGAGACCCACAGGTTGAGAACCGCTGCTCAAGACCAACCATGTCTCCTCCTTCCCCTCCCATTTTATAGATGAGAAAACTGAGACCCAGAGAAAAGGCTTGAGTGACTTACAGGTGACCCTGGAGCAAAGCTAAAGGGAAAGCAGGACAAGAGTGCAAGTTTCCAGCCCCTCAATCCCCCAAGTTCAAGGCTCTTTCAGACCCAGGCAGAGATGTGCTCCCTCTGTGGATTGCTCTCTAAAACAGAGGTAGGGGGAGTCAGCCCTGCTTTCCAGCAGCCTGGCAGGAGGGTCTTGTCCAAGGTCAGTGGCATTCCCAAGGTCACCTTCATGCCCTTTACACCACACCCTCCTGAGCTGAGGGGCATCCTTCACCATCGGAGCCTCCTATCTTTCCATCAACACACAGGTTCGCAGGACCATTGGGAGAGGATACAAGTCTTCCCTGGGTCAAGTTCAATGCCATGGAAACATCTCGGAGGGCAGCTTGAACCAAACCTTGGGGAAAGGGACCGGCACTACTTTGAGGTTAAGTTATGTTCAGAACGAATTCACGCAAGATCAGTATGTCCAGCATGTGGAGGAAACACTATTCCACTGTACCTCGGGCAGCGTCTGCTATGCTGTTCTCATAGGGAACAAAAATAACCAATCTTTACGTCACTAACCCTATCAAATATGGCAGCATTGTGGATGTCAGAGCTAGAAGACCTTCGGGGCACGACTCCTTCATTCCCCATGGAAGGAGGCAAGAGGAGGGCCGTGTTCCAGCGCCGCAGACACGCACGCCGTCTTTCAGCAAGACGAGGAGGCCTGATCCCTGGCAAGCAGCAACAACTTCGGGATGGCACGCATCCTGAAAGCCTGGCTTTGACGAACCTGAGAAGAACCTGTAATTTGCCTTCTTTGGATTGTTCTTACTTGTCATGAACACCAACGACTGGGCTGGCACGACCTTCCTCTCCTCTACCCTCCACTGCCAGCACCACCGTCGGCTCCTCTCGCCCAGACCGAGGCAGTGTCTGCAGAAGGAAGAAGGAGCCTGGGTGGTCCCAGGCCCCACTCCCCGAGTTGGAACTCAAAGGTTATCTAGGAGACTTTAGAGAGAAAGTACACACTTAGGCCCAATTTACATGCCCTTGATAGTTTAAAGGATCCTAGCGTTCAAAGGAATTTCAGGAAGTCTTCGCGCCAACTCCTTTGCTCTCCAGACACCACCATCCCAAAGATTTTAGCTCTTAGTCTCTGTCTAGCTAGCTTGCAGAATTTTCTTCTGGGCTCATTATTCTACGTAGTATGTACATGTATCACACACACACACACCCCGCTCGCACGCACGCATGCACACACCACTGTCCACGGCACTCTACTGAAGGAAGTGGTCTCTATTGGTTCCTTATACCAGGTTTTCATTCAATATCACGCAACCCTACCATTCTGGAAACAATCGACGTGGTGAAGATTGGTGGTTGATCCAATGGCATGCATCCATCCATAGGCTGCTAGTGGCCAATGATCCATTCTGGAAACAACCGACGTGGTGAAGATTGGTGGTTGATCCAATGGCATGCATCCATAGGCTGCTAGTGGCCAATGATATGTCCTGAATGGTGATTGGCCAAACCGGTCAAGACAACCAGCCGGCTACAGAAAGTAAAGCAGAAGCAGAGCCAGGATCGTCGAGTCACCCAGTAGGGTGACCAGTTGTCCCAGTTTGCCCAGGACTATGGCAGGGTTAGCACTGGAAGTCCTGCATCCTGGGAAAGCCCCCGGTCCTGGGCACCCTCAGCCCATCAACATGAGCCGAATTCTAGAATCGGGAGCAGTGGATCCTGCTGCAGAGAAGGAGATCAAGGGGGCTGTGGTATGACAGTTTCTGCTGTCCCTGGAAACAATCTCTAGCAAAGGGAACCCATTAGTTAATCCTCACCCAAGGATATTTTTCCCATTGATTTTTAGAGAGAGTGGAAGAAAAGGGGAGAGACAGCGGGAAACATCGATGTGAGAGAGACACATCGGTTGGTTGCTGTCCACATGCACAACTGGGGTACATGCCTTTGACTGGAATCGAACCCAAGACCCTTTAGTCTGCACTGACGTTCTAACCACTGAGCACCACCAGCCGGGCAGCAATGCAAACTCGTGAATGACTTGGGCTTCTCGGGAAGGTCTAGCTGGGCAGCTGCTGCCAGACTGCTTCCTGCCTACTTCCACAGCAGCTTGCACTAAGCCAGCATGTATGGAGGTAAGACAAGTGGGTCTCTGTCCCTTGACACCCAAGGGAATTGAACTGCTACAACGAGCCTGTCTGCCTGTCGAGGAAGGACGGCGAAAGCCCACAGACAAGCCTCGTGTTCCAACAGCAGGAAACCTCCTCCAGAGGCTCCCCTCCCTCGTTTTGTGTTGAACCTGAGACGCCAAGAAGGACCCCCTTGCTCCACTGAGAAGACAGTGAAATCACTAAATGGTCACACAAACACATCATCTGCAACACAGGGAAGGTAGACAGGTCTAGCTTTAATTCTTTCTTACAAAGGCAAGCCATCCATTCACTGTGGACACTGAGAGTACAGGCCTGCTTGGCCCTGCACTTTGGCCAAGGTTGACAGGGATAGACATCTAGGAAGTATTTCCGTCCATGTGTATGGCGGCTACAGAGTGAACGAAATGAACAGGACTCGTGTCTCGTGGGGCCCAATCCATTGCCGGGTGTGTGTGTCATCGGCACGCCCCGGAGGAAGAGGGTCCGCCATAAATTCCACCAGCGCTGGTAGCTGGACGGTCCATAAAGAAGCCCCAAGCTCCGGTGTGGACCCCAACGGCCACCTGAGAGGAGAGGGTCTTGCAGCTGACTGTGCCTCCGGCTCAACAGAAGACAGCTGGAATAAACAACAGGGCTCGTTTTCTGCTCCTCCAGATGTCCGATCGTGTGTGATCCCAGCCAAGACGGTTGGGCATGGAGAACGCCAGCCCTCACAATCCAGCTCCCCCGCCGAAGTCCCTGCCAACGTCCCCGAGAGCCTGAGGAATGTCCCTGCACAGATGAGCATCCCTCGGGAACCCGTGCGGCCAGACCCGAATAGACTCCTCCAAGGCTGTGCGCTCAGCGGCACACACGTGTCTTGAGAAGGAGCAGGAACAAAAAACTAAGGTCCTGTTTGACCTAAGTGTAGTTAACGATTCACTCTGTATCCGCTAGAAGACGACGGAGCAAACAAGAATCACTGCACAGCAGGCGTGGAGGTGGGGGGCGGGCAGAAAGGGGGTGGCAGAAAGCCCTGGGGTTCCTGGGGGTGGGGGGAGGGCAGCCTTCGGAGCCGCGGCCGCAGAGGAAGGGTTTTCCATATGAAGGAGAAAGCAAGGTCTGGGATACCGGTGACTTCTCCGTAGGATGCTCCCAGCAATGATGCATCTCCCAGCGCATGCAGGTCATCACACCCACTATTCCTCAGAGCGAGGGTCTTTGCTTTCTCCTTAAATGTCTTCTCAAATCCAGAACCTTCTGTATGTATTCTCCAAAATAAGACTTCTCCATCCAATGCAGAGTGCCTGCCTCTTAAGAGCTGGTTGCATCTGAGTCAGGACCTCCAGGAAGCTCCCTGGTGGGTGGTGAGGGTGAGGAAGGGCAGCCCTTTGCCAGCCCTGCTTCCCAGGCCTGTGGAGCAAAACACAGCATTGGAGTGAGAATCTAGCGTCAGCCCCTCCTACAGATGGCTTTCAACAGTGAGCATCACTTTCCTACTTTCCTCCCTAACAGTCGAGCTGCTGAGAAGAGGAGACGCTGCTTCTAAAAGCAGGATTTTCGTTAAAGGGGGAGGCGGGGGAGCTATTTATCCATCTCAAGCAACTCCCTGTACACTGAGTCACCACCGGGAGCCTTTCACACAAATCCCACCACTACACCCATAGCTGATTTATTTTAAAAAATAAATTAAATACCACTGAACCCAGCCAGCCCAGAGGAAGTGGAAAATTCTGTTTTCAGCAGGTCACTGTGATATGTCTGTGAGATGTGGGCGTGTGGAGATATTAGATCACCCACTTTACAAATGGGGAAACTGAGGCACAGAGGGTGCCAATGTTCTCAATAAAGGATGACAAGGGTCTGGTCCCTAATCCTAATGTTCCCTTCAGCTGGCACCTCTCTGCTCTCACAAGCCCCTTAACAATTAATTAGGAAACCACCCAGAGTGGGTAGGGGTCCCCCCATGGAAATGTGAAGGCATGGTTTAACACGTTTCTACTTCCCTAATGCCGATGGCAAATACACAGAGATGGCCTGGCCGGCCCGGCTCCGTGGCTGAGCATCGACCTAAGAACCAGGAGACCACAGTTTCCTTCCTGGTCAGGGCACATGCCTGGGTTGCAGGCTCAATCCCCAGTAGAGAGTGTGCAGGAAACAACCGATCAATGATTCTCTCTCATCATTGATGTTTCTCTCCCTCTCCCTTCCTCTCTGAAATCAATAAAATTATATTTTTTAAAAAAAAGAATTGTGGGGCTGTCTTACTGTCCCTATTAGGATGGACACCCTGGAAGGAGTGAGAGTCTGCATATTAGAGTCACCTACCCAAAGAAAGCCAGCCAACATGCCCATGCAGAGGTGTCTGGGTGCTCCAGGTGGCTCTCTGATTGGTGGCCAGGGGGACATCGTACGTCTTCGCCCAGGTGTTGCCTGGGCCTTCTAGACACTCTCTTTCATTTGGACCCAAAAGCACCCCCAACACCCCCAAAGTTGTGCTAATGCTCCTCGGGTCCCCTTCCCTCCCGGGCAGCGGCCCTCTCCCCTGGCTCCCACGGGGCCCAGGGCCCGGAGAAGCCCTTCTTGCCCCGGGAGACACACAGAGCTCACAGCTTGCCAATTAATTGGCAGCCGCCAGGTGAATCACACAGGGACTTCCTTCTTGTTGCCCGGCAACAGCATGCACTTGGCAGTGGGACGTTAAACACAGAGGGGAATGTTGGGAGGGACTTGCAAAATAAAATGAAAAGCAAAACATACAACACCCCAGACTCATCCCGGCATGGCCAACCCAGCCCGGGGGGTGGGGTGGGGGGGAGCGGCATTGGGGAGTGGGGTGGAGACGAGGGAATCAGCCCAGCAGAGGAAAATGAGGTTAGAACATGACCAGTCTAAGCAGAGCCCAACTCTCCCTCCCCGACCCCCCCACCCAAATCCTCTGGGTGCATGTTTATATGTGGCCAAAGACACGCCTCTGTTAGCCTGGAGAAAGGCAACGGGGGGCCCACGGATTAACAGGCGCCAAGGGAGTTGGAAGATTACCTAGAAACACGCAGCCCAGAGGGTTTACGAGGCTGGCTGAGGGCACGTATCTGCTGTTTTCGCGTCTCCGCTGGGCACCACTGCCCAGGCTGTCATTCTGCCACCTCTAGGGCAGGAACGCCTCCTCCCAATCCTTTTCCCCTCGAATGTGTTTGTGTCTGTTGCTATGGCCACTGGGAGCTGTGCCCTTCAGACCCTGTCTCTGGCCTCTCTGAAAACCCCGGGACAGACGTGAAATGTGTGCATGTTCTGTGCTGGGGACAGCCCACGGAACAAGGGCTGGGGACAAGGAAAGGAAGGACAGTGGCAAGGGGGCCACTGCGGTAGGCTGAATATTAGCCCCCCAAAGACAACCAGGCCTTGATCCCTGCGACCTTGAACGTAGGCTACCTCTGACAGCAAAAGGGACTGTGCGGATGTGAGCGAGGGCTCTGGGACTGCAGGGATTACCCTGGATTATCCAGGGGGGCCCACATGTAATCACAAGTCTTTCTAAGAAAGAGGGAGGCTGTCCTAGCTGGTCTGGCTCAGTGGATGGAGCGTCGACCTATGGACTGAAGGGTCCCAAGTTCGATTCTGGTCAAGGGCATATACCTCGGTTGCAGGCATTGTCAATCCCCGGAACCCGGACCAGGCCCTGCAACCAGTAGATATGTTTCTCCCCCTTCCTTCCACTCTCTCTAAAAATCAATGAAAAAATATCCTCGGGTGAGGATTAACAAAAAAGAAATAAATAAAAATACATTTCCTATTTTTAAAAAAAAGAAAGAGGGAGGGAGGCAGAGCAAGACCTGACCCAGAGGCTAGAGGGACCCAGGGCAGGAATCACGAGGCAAGGTGACCAGGAGGCTCCAGAGCTGGGAAAGGCAAGGAAGTGGATTCTTCCCCGGAGACACTGGAAGGAGCCAGCCCTGCGGATGCCTTGACCTTAGCCCCGTGGAACTGGCCCCCAGAACCATAGAAGAATAGATGTGAGTTGCTTTACACCCCTAAATTCATGGTAATTTTACAGCAGCCATGGGACTCTACTGCTGTGCATCAGGGCATATGGGGCCTCTGTGCCCGACAGGTCTGTGGAAGAGGGTGTCACCGCAAGCACAGAGGCAGCAATGGGCTGAGGCTGGCCAGGAGGGGCGAGGTCCAGAACTCGGCTTAGGAAGGTCCAACAGACACCCTACGAGGGCAAAGGGCGGGTCTCTGAGACCAACTGAGGCAAGAGGCAGCCCAGGCTCTGAAGGGGTTTTGAAATTGTTTTCATTTGTGACTGTAACTTGGCTCCATCTCTGAAAGCTTCTGTTTCATCATCTGCAAAATGGAGATAATATCTGCCTTGCAGAGCTTTTAGGATTAAGGGAGATGCCGTATGAGAAGTACATGGCACAGGGCAGATGCCCAATAAATTACCACTCTGAGGAGGATTCTGTTCTCCCCTTTCTACTTAGAAACAGAACTCTGATTTCTGGTGGACACACTGAGGCCCAGAGTCAAAAGACTATGTTTCCCAGCCTCCCTTGCCGCTAGCTATGGCCATGTGACTAAGATCTGGTCAAGGAGACGTAAGCAAGTGTTGTGGGACTTCTGGGAAGGCTGTTCAAAAGGTGTTGGAAAGAGCCCGATGGTTACCTCTCTGCCTTTCCTGCCTTCCGCCTTCATCGAGGACGTGATGGCTGGTGCCCCAGCAGCCGTCTTGGACTACGAGGGACGCTGAACATGGGAGTCCTGTGGGAAGGTAATTTAATAGGAAGAGGGAAGCCTGGGTCCCTAAAAGCTGAACTGCTACACCAGCCTTGGATGGCCTTTCTCTGGATTTCTGCTATGTGAGCAAGAATGCTCTTGTGTCCTAATAGTGAAGTCACTATTACTGTAGAGTTTTCTAGTAACCACAATGGATGCACTATATCACAGATCTGGAAAAAGGAACCCATCTAGAGGAGTGCTTCTCCAAGTGTAGTCCACCTTCAGCAGCACCTGGGAACGCGTTAGAAATGCAAGTTCTCAGGCCCCACCCCAGACTCGCTGCCTCGAACATGCCGAGAGCCGCTGCGCATGGCAGACACTGCTCCCAGCGGGGGAAGCGGGAACATACCTGAACCTGACTCTGGGGAGGACACAGGTGCTCCCAAGCAGAAACTGTCACCAGCACGGCTGGGGCAGGCTTGGGAATGGACAGGTAGCTGCCAGGTGGGGTGACTGGATGGAGCAGGATTCCTGGTGGCTGTGTCACCTTACTTCCCATCAGAACAGGGTGGACACCTTTCCTGCCTCCCATGAATAACCACACAGAGCCTCTGTTTCCTCCCCTCGTAAACCGAGAGCACCGGGAGCCGGCTCCCATGAGGTGCTGCACACATGAGCTCATGCAAACCAGAGCACTGCCTTCGTGAAGGCGGGGACACGGCAGCGGCCTGTTTAGAAACGGGAGCACCAACTCTCCCTCCAGTCGGTAAACTCCCCAGGCGCTGAAACCAGAATCCTCCCACAGGGCTGCGCCCTGAGCAAGGACAGGCTTCCCATACTTTTAACGGAGCCTGGAAATCAGCTCTGCGCGGCGTTCGTAGCTGGGCAGGAGCATGAAGGGAGGAATAAATGAGGCGAGAACCCGGGAATGAGGAGAGAAGGAGAGCTGAGCAGGGTGATGCTCTGGCTCCTGGAAAAGGCAGATGAAGTCACCTGTGAATTCTCTCTCCTGCTGGGACCCGCTCTTGCCTTTGCCATTTCATTCCCAGCCTACCCTGCTGAAATGCTGAGCCAAGCTTTTCCTGGCTCCCTTTGGCCCAAACGACTAAGTCAAGGATGTCACTGGGGGGAGGCAGGAGGGAGGTGGAGGAAAAGAGGAGACGAAGAGGAGGGAGAGGAAGAAAAAGAAGAGGAGGAAGAGAAGGAGGTGAGGAAGAAAGAGGAGAGAGAGAAGAGATGGAGGGCAGGAGGTGAGGAAGGCAGAGGGGCTGGAGGACAGAGGACAGAGAAGCCTGCAGGGTAAACTGAGTCCTCGCAGCACCCCTCCCTCTCTCAGCTCCAACCGGCTAGCGCAGATGGGGGAGACGGGGCACAGGTGTGAGTCCGTAACCCACATGGACAAGGCCAGGTCCCAGGGACCTCCGGGAGGCTAAGGCCCCGTGGGATGGAACCCACTGCCATCCTCCACTGAAGGCAGCGGATTGGAGCAGGTAGGAGAGACCCCATTGCTCTCTATCAGTGGTACCCAAGAAGCACGGAACCAGGTCCCGTTTCTGTTCCTGGGGACTTCTGTTCCCGGCCACAAATTAGACCAAACAAGGGAGGACTTGGCTTCTGGCATCGGCCAGCTCCAAGCTTCCACCTTCCTCTCCCCACCCCACCGCCCTTCCGCCTGGGTCCAAATACAGCTCCCACTTGACTGAACCCCTGGGCTCCCTCCAGCCTGCAACCCTCCTGCGCAGATGTCCCGACCCTGGCAGATGTGTTAAAAAATAAACCTCATAAAGCTTCCAGATGTGCTGTGTGCACGGTGCTGTTTCTCGGCTCCTGTCTCCAGAGGCCCATGTGTGATGTCCAGCATCCTGACGGCCCAGATGGGACAGGAGGCGGCCAAGGGGCACTGCCTGGGGTCGACGGGGAAGGGGCCCTTCCTCCAGGACCACACTCATCCATCCGCCCATCGACTCTCCCCTGCAAAGATGCGACCTCCTTCTTCCCCTGGGTTCTCCCACCATCCCCCACGCCCTGTTTCTCCCCTCTTATAGGTCCGATACACATCCTTGGCATGTGTACCACGTCAAGCAAAAGACCTCCGAAAGGCTGCAAAGGAGCGAGTCTGAGATTCCCAAAGGGGAACCCTCCAGGCTGTGCCTTCTCTGAGCCCCCACCTCGTGTCTCCCTTAAACTCCGTGGACGAACAGCCTTTGTGACACAAAGTCAGGGACGAAATGACACAGAGCGCCCCTTCTACGTACGATGTTGAGTGACCATCTCAGGAGCTGGACCAGCCAGACCGAGGGAATAGAGTCTGTGACTTGCCAAGCCCGCCCCTACCCCCCGGGGCTGGTGGCCTCTGGCCCACAGAGAGGTAACCGCCAACGGGCAGCCTTGTGCACACACAGCCACACACGCACCCTGCCCAGCGCGCACACACCTGAGGGCCCAGGATTCTTTGCACAAGGTGACGCCCGGCCCCTTTGATGCTCGCCGGATGTGCTCCCATTGGGTGAGAACCAGACCTCAATAAAGCCCGGCACTATCAAGAGGCCGGTGGTTTGCGATTGCCCCGGCCTGTTATCTCCGTGGCCCTGGGTGGGGCTGCTTTGCGGTTCTCCACTGAAAAGCATTCACTTCTAGGCGGATCAAAGCCCCTTCCGCATCGGGCCGGCCTGGATCCCTTGTTTGTATCTGCAGGAGACTGTTCCTAACGATGGACTTTCAAGATAATAGGGACCCTAGTCCCAGACTCCCTCTGCCCTCTCCTTACCACGCAACGCGTCCCTCAGAGGCCACCTAATGGCCATTCACAAGGCCCTTCTCTTCTCTTTCTCCGGGTGAAGAGAAGATGTTAAATTTCCGTTTAACATTGGAAATGGGGGGCTGGCCAGAGAGCGTGCCAGGCCTGCTCCCAGCAACCACGGGTGGACCAGGGGGACCGAGAGACACCAACTCGGAGACCAGGTAGGACCCCCTCTCCTGCCTGTGCCGGCGAGGGGACTCCGGAGAGGAGGGCACCAACTACACATTTTTCTCAGGAGGGATGAACAGACAGATCCCCGCCTGGTCCCTGCAGCCCCATCTACTGTCTACCCAGATGTCTAAGGGCCGGCTGTCAGCCCACAGTGAGGACACAGCGGGACCCCTGAGTTGCCTGGATCTGGAGCACCCAGAAAGCCTGCCCATCAATACCGGGGAGAAAGAGCCCGTGCACTCAAGGACTGTGGGTGCCACAGGCTTCGGGGGCTTCCTGAGGGTTCCTCCGCTCCACCAAGGTCTGTCGGGGCCCGTGGAGGCGTGCTATGGCCGCCATGGTTTTCTTCTCTGTGTTCAGAGTACCTAGTGTAGTGTCTGGTCCTGAGGAGGCACATGGATGGGTTGATGGGTGAGTGGGTGGGTGGATGGGTGGGTGGATGCATGAGTGGGTGGATGGGTGGGTGGATGGGTGGATGAATGGATGGATCAATGGATGGATGGATGGATGGATGGATGGATGGATGGATGGATGGATGGATGGATGGATGGATGGATGGATGGATGGATGGATGGATGGATGGATGGATGGATGGATGGATGGATGGATGGATGGATGGATGGATGGACGGACAGATGGATGGACAAACGAGTAAATGAACCAGCATAGGCTGGTTATCTCACAAGTGTGGGAGGGAGGCGGGACATGGATACTCATTCTTACTGATGGGAAAACACCTTAGCTTAATGATATGGAGTCAGATCAAGGTTCAAATCCCAGAACCTGGGCAAGCTGCCTCTCTCACCCCTCTGTAAAGCAGGCAAAACAGGGGTGCAGACTCCATCGTAGGGCCGTCGTGAGGCCTGAGCTAAATACTAAAGGCTCCTAAGTGGTATTTGTCATTATCACTGCATTTCCCTAGAGCACCCGCTCTATTAACAGATCCAGGGGCCCACTTCCGAGGAAGGACGGACAAGGAGTCACTGCCTTGGTTATTCTCCTGGCACAGACAGACCACACCTACGGAGTAAAACACCCTCCGGGTCCACCTG